GAGACTGTGCCAGGTGGATGATTATGGGCCAGATATTTTTTCTATAGGGTTGTTATGGATAAAAAAGGAGACAGGCGCATTAATTATGTACATTGCCTTTAGCTGATCCAAAATAAATGTGGGGTAAAATTGTTTTTCCTTCCATTCAGTCATGTCCGATTCTTGGAGACAGTCTGAACAAGTCTCCACAGTTTTCTTGGCAAGGTTTTCAGAAGGTTTGCCATTGCCTCCTTCCCTGGGCTGAGAAAAAGTGTTTGGCCCAAGGCCACCCAGCTGGCTTTGTGCCTAAGGCAGTGGTTCTCAACCTTTTTAATGCCGCGACCCCCAACTGGTCGTAAGTCGAGGACTAAACCGGTCGTAAGTCGAGGACTAAACCGGTCGTAAGTCGAGGACTACCCAACCGGTCGTAAGTCGAGGACTTTCCCTGCCCGGGAGCGCCGCGCATGCGTGGTTCCGTCCCCTGCGCCGGCCGAGGCATAGCTGGCAAGCGGCAGAGACGGAACAGGCCGACCACCAGCTGGCCCAGCCCAAGGGAGGTAAGGCACCCTCCGGAAAAGGGAAAAAAAATGGCGGACAGCCTTGCTTGGCGACCCCCGTGAAATGGTCGATTGACCCCAAATGGGGTCGCGACCCCTAGGTTGAGAACCGCTGGCCTAAGGTAAGACTAGAACTCATGATTTCCCAGTTCTAGTCTGATGTTTTTACTATATCAAACTGGCTATCAAATATAAATAAAAATTACAAGCCTACAGCATACAAGAACAGAATGGAACAAACCTCCTGTGACACAGGATTAGGATATTTGCATAATGTCTTCAGATCAAACTCCAACTTCTCTGCAAGATCTAAAAGAAAAGACACAGAGATAAAACTAAAAGCAGGTAAATAATATTGAATATAGGTTTAAATCAGGGAATCTGCTACAATATCAGCCGGGCCACTTTAATCTTTCAAGATCAGCGTACTCCAGGTTCCTTTCATTACCAATATATAGTGGGATCCCCAAAACATGCCTTTTCTGTAGCAGCACCTTCCCTCTAGAATGAGGTTCCTCTGATGATTCGGATTTCTGCCAATCTATTGTTTTTCACAAAAGCAAAACTGACTTTTCACCCAGGCCCTGGAGAGGGTCAGTGAGAGCCCTCACTTCATTCTATCCTATCCGTCATGCATGCCATCTTTTAATACTTTTATTGCAATTTTTTTAAATTTTAGGCTGGGGCAGAGTTTGGGGAATGGCACAACATGCAAATTTAATCAATTATTTTGTACATTAGATAGTGTAATCTTCACTGAATTCCTGAATGGATATCCTGAATTCCCACCAGTAGATATTTAACAGTCCAGTTTCAAAGAAACATCTAAGCCAGGGGTAGGCAACCTCGGCTCTTTTATGACTCGTGGACTTCAACTCCCAGAATTCCTGAGTCAGCACAGCACAGCTGACTCAGGAATTCTGGGAGCTGAAGTCCACGAGTCATAAAAGAGCCGAGGTTGCCTACCCCTGATCTAAGCATTTGCAATTTTTTATCCCTCCCCACCTTTTGTTCATCTTATTTTCAGGCATTCTCCACTATTAAGAGAAAAGATAATCAACACAGATCTTCCAATTCAATACAAGTTATAAAAGCATAAAAATGTATATTGTGCTATAATATAAGCACGAGTGTGACTGTTCCTAATATTCAAGTAAATTAAGCAGCCATTACCTTGATTAGGTCTGTTGACCAAAACTGGTTTTCCAATATCAGAAATATTTTGGGTACCTTTCCTCCTTTTCTTATTTTTCCTGACTGTTGCAGGAAGAGCTACATTCAGCTTCTGAGACTGGGATACAGTCTTATGTTCCGAAAACAATATATTTATCCATCCACTGCCAGTTTTCCTTTCTATAAATGTTTTAGGCATTTTCTTCTTAATCTCTAAATAACTGGTTTTCAGAAAAACGTTTATTTCAGAAGGAAAGACAAATCCTTTAATATATGGCCTTTGGTGCATTTTTGCTACTTCTTGAAGCAATTCAAAGAGATCCTTATATAACATACTAAGTTTTTTTAATGTAGCTCTATAAAGAATCCTAGAATGAAGGAAAAACACAAAGAGATGTAACGCTTGATATTGGCTAACATAATTCCATATTTGCTTCTCATTTTCACTAAGCTCTCCAATTCAGTATGAATTAACCAGTATTGACTCACAATGAACTTTGGCAATAAAATTAACAATAATCCTGAAGAAAAAGTCAAAGAGGTTTGTCACTTAGAAGGGGTGAGTAGCTTTTAAATATTAGAGCAGTATTCCAGGATTTTTGAAACTGCTATTTACTAGTGTAAGGATCTGTAATGCTATGAGCCTTACTTAAAGAGACAAAACACAAGCACACATGAAGCAGAATTCATGTTCACTAATCAAAAGCAAAGAAAAGTAGATGGATAGAAAAGTGAGTTATTTACTTTGGTCAGAATGTCTGGCTATTTTATTTATCTGAAACAAAGGAGATCCAGTTACCAGATAATGGAGCAATTCTAACACAGTGAGAAAGACTATTTTTGAAAAAAAAAATGAATTCCAATGGTTGGGCAGTACATATGGCCCAAAGCCATCTCTATACCGCTAAAAGTTTATTGGAATTAAGGTATACTACCAGACATTGTTTTGCATAGAAGGAAGATCCCAAATTGAGCATTTGGATAAAAGGGATCTGGATCTGCATATAAAACCCGTTATACATAAACAGTGCCCACAACCATGTCTACACTAACTGCACCTGCCTTATTTAAGTTTCTTCCACTCAAAACCAACTAGGGAAAAATAAATAAATGTTTATAAAAAATATGTTCCTTTTTCCCATTCCAGCTGAAACAAAGCTTCAGAGTTTCTAAAGATACCATTTAATCTCCTTCACCCACCACTTTTCCTGGGTCCACCATAGCAATAAATGCAGTTAGAACTTTATAAATTGCAGTATGGTACGATACTCATTGGTATCCCCCCCCCATCTAATTGGTAAGAAAGTGACTAAGCAAAATCTTTGTTATAAACATGTAAATGAATAACTAGAAATGAAACAATAAAAATGTTTAAGAGATGTACATACCATAACCGACTCAGCAACCCCAGAATCAAAGTGTTGAACAATATATACTCTTCCAAACATAGATGTTTAACAATTAAACTGAGAAACAAGTTGGTTAAGGCTGGATAATATTTTCCCAAAAGTTAGAAATCCAAGATAAATGTCTATTTTACAGTTACTCAACTCAGTGAACTCAGTCCTAAGACAGTTAATAGTAAAACACGTTTACTTTTTTGTTATTTATATTTTTAATTCAATAAAAATCAAAGTCATTTATACTAAATTATGATGCTAGAGAACTGCAAAAACTTAAGACCAAAAAAATTATGCACCACAGTCAGTAATGAACAGGATAATAACAACTATAAAATATATATTTTTGGAAGGATACCTAAATGCCGTACAACAACATTCGAGTAAACGTAGTATAAGCTTGCAACTACCCAGTATCTTCACCAGAACAACTTCTATTACAGGTTGGCTGGGGACCAAGGACTCCGCAGAATTTTCAGATCTCTGTTTTCTATTTAAAATAAATAGAGAAGAAAATGTATATGCACTTGAATGCTACTCTCTGCTGCTTTGTCACAAGCTGATATGGTAACTAATGTTAATGACACAGACTACGCAATACCACCTGTCTGCAACTCCTTAAATCAAATGAACTGTTTCTAGATCACATGGTAGCTGCAGATGGTAGCCACACTGTACAAGGAGTCTTCAACTTACAACCACAATTGAGCCCCAAATTTCTGTTGCTAAGTGAAACAGTTAAGTGAGTTTCGCCCCATTTTACAATCTTTCTTGCCACCGTTGTTAAGTAAATCACTACAGTTAAGTTAGTAACATGGTTGTAAAGTGAACCTGGCTTCCCTGTTGACTTTGCTTATCAGAAGACCGTAAACGGTGATCACATGGTCCCAGGACACTGCAACCATCATAAATATGAAGCAGTTGCCAAGCACCCGAATTTTGATCACATGGCCATGGGGATGTGTGAAAAATGGTCATCAGTCACTTTTTTCAGTGCTGTTGTAACTTTGGTCACTAAACAAAAGGTTGTAAGTTGAGAACTCCTGTGTCAGGAAGAGCTGTAGCTGTTTTAAGGAATTCCAAATGGGTGTGATGAATCAGCTGATCTTCCCTTGCTTGCTGGAATTTGCAAACTCTGGATAGACTGACTTCCCCTTGCTTGCTGGAAGGGAAGGCAGTTGGAGGTTTGCAAAATCCAGACAGCTTGTTGTCTTTTGCTTTCTGGGTGGAAAGGAAGCTGAAGGACTACGAGGACCCCAGAGAGAAGTGTAGCATGTGGTGCCTCAAGGGGTGGAAGTAGCCTTGGCTCAGGGCAGACAACTTGAAAAGGCCACCCAGGGTCTCCCTCACCCAAGGCACCCTATGCTCTAATTAACAATTCTCATTTTCATTTAATGGTTGCATCAGAAAGAGTACGGGGTAAGGTTAAGTGAGGTTGTTTTGCTTAACAACCATTGTGACATGTGCCCATTACAGTCATATTTCAAGGACAATCTGTATTAATAAAACTATAGAAACATGGACATGTTAACAAACTACTTACATGAGGCCCATCTGAGCAATTTTTTGAATCGACTTTTCCAGATTCATTAAATTTAAACGTTTCAAGCATTGTTCTACCTGAAATTATGAAGGTAAAAAATGTTGCTTACTGGCCTATATTAAAAAGCAAGCAAACTGCATTCTTATCTATATAAATAAAAATGTAAATGTTCGTTTGTTCAAAATCTTAAATCTCCGAAAGTTGTTCACCGATTGCTTTGAAATTTTGACACAACGTTGCATTCGAATACGCGCGTGTTTTTATATATCTACTATTATATAGATGTCACACTTGTGACAGGTAAAAACATGCTTTTTTGAAAAACAGCGCCATCTGTTGGACGTTTTGAAATTGCCATTGAACATGCAATTCATTGAAACTCCCACGTGCAACATTTCCAAAGCATCCCGCATGAGAAAAGTATTGCAGAAATGCAAACTTATTGTTTGGGATGAATGCACAATGGCGCATTGAGACTGAGCCACAGCAATAGCTAGCTTCCAATAAATATGCTTAGCTCTAGATATAAATGAATCATTTTTTTTCATAACTTGTATTAAGAACCAAATTCTTCACATGCACTATAATATCTCTAGCATATATACTTGCGAGCACTCCTAACTTATTCAAAATTAAATTTCAGTATAGTATGTTTCAATAAGTGAACAGAAACAATCTCTACATATCCCAAAATTAAGCAAACAAACTTTCTGCAGAACCAATGCATTCTATTCAGTTGAAATGATTTACAGATTTAAAATAAAATAAATATAGTAGATGCAAAATCCTTATAGTCAGCATTACATAATAACTCCCATGGCAAAAATATAAGCTTCTATGTGTTGGGCTATAGCTAGCTAGATCTTTTTTTAGTCTTACTTTTGGCATTTTTTTTTGGGCTCCTCCTTAAAAGAATTCCTCTACTAAAGATGACATAATGGGCAAATTCAGCATTTTTTTTATCATGGAAGGCTTTGAAGATTTAATCAAGATTTCCAAAAAGGTCACCAACCTGTTTAAGACTCCCATATGTCTTTTGATGAATCATCTGATAATGGTAATTATAAATGATTGAATGCAGAAGGCTCTGTTCTGCAACCAGCTCTTTGCTCTTTAACATGCTGCCAACAGACCCACACTTCTTCAGAACAGCTGAAAGGCATCTCACTAGAAAATATAAACATAGGCATCAATAGGAAGCTGCAAAAATTCACTCAATAAACCAGTAACAAAGGAAGTGGATCTCAAATTCCAGCATCAGTTAGTTCAGGGGTTCCTTAACTTTTTTGCCACAGCTCTTTAGTATAAATGTAATGTACGTCCCCTAAAAAAATCAATGAAGCACAAATAAACAATGAAATAAAATAAAGCTTTGGGAAAAGTAGATTTATCGTAACATTGCACAACTAAAAAGTTCTTTCCATCTCCCCTGCATGTTCTGTCTCTTCAAGAGAGCTACACTTGATAGTGTGGGAAACCCAGAGTTATTTGTCTGCAGCAGATTAACAGAGAAGCTATAGTGTTATGAATCTACTTTCTGCACTAAGGAAATTTTTCCTTCCAGCAATTCATTTGGATTCTGTCCAGGATCTTGTATTATTCAGCTACTTTGCTTACTTCCTAGCATGAAATTCCAGATACTTGCTGCATATATAGCTGTTTTTTTGCATGGCACATTTATGCATGTTTAATTAAACCATGATGGTTCATTCAATTAACCCAATTTTCTGGGTTTGCGTTACAATGAATGGTTTCATCAAAAGGTGACTTCATGCAGTACGAATATGTTTGTTTTTGTTCTCAGTTGTGCATATTCACGAGTGTTTCGTTCCTCAAGTTAACTCCAGTTTAATCAATTAACCTCATATTAATCGACAGTCTGAAAAACCTAAGAGTATTAAATCATCAGTTAAACATAGACACACCTCATTTAACACTGAGAGGAAGATGCTTCCACTATAATCAATTAGAAATAAATTGCAATCCTATATACGCAAAAAAATGTAAATTTTTATTAGCGGAATGAGGCATTTTTTTACAATCATATGCATATTTTATGTTGGCTTAAGCTCAAATCTGCTAGATAATAATTTAGTCCCACCACCCAAAAGTCTGTTAGTTAAACTACATTTTCAAAAAAAAAAAAAAAAAACACAAGGCAGAAACTTTCGCAGCAAGCGTGCTTATCTAGCACTCAAATTTAACGCGAAATGCAAAGACGTCCCGCTTTAGCTAGAGAGCCTCGTTCCGCGTGGAAAGCTCTCCGCTGACCTGAAGCATGTTCAGCCGGCACGACTTCGGCGGAATTGCAAGCAGGCCAAGGCACATCCCACCGGTTCCACACCACCTCGCCGCCTCCGGGCGCCGCCATCTTGGCTGGCGGGGAATCCCGGATTTATCACCGGAAGGAGAACGACTGAAGGACACTCCCCCTCCCCACCCCCAATAGGGCGAGAGAGAACAGAAGAGGGGATTCCTTTTAAATGTTCGACTTCTGATTCGCTATTCCGTCGGAGAGGCGGGACCTGGAAGCGCGTTTTCGTTTGTGACCTCCTAGGGCAGGGGTAGGCAACCTCGGCTCTTTTATGACTCATGGACTTCAACTCCCAGAATTCCTGAGTCAGCGTAGCTGACTCAGGAATTCTGGGAGTTGAAGTCCATGAGTCATAAAAGAGCCGAGGTTGCCTACCCCTGTCCTAGGGAACCTTCCCGTTACGATTTTCTCTTCGTTTCACGCTCTCCTTTTTCCCCTCTGGTGAAGTATTTCTCACTCCTGATAGTTTTAAGATGTTTGGACTTCAATTCCCAAAATATCAAGAGTGAAAAATACTGCTCTATTGATGGTTGGTGTAGGAATTGTGACGACCACTAGATAGCATCAAACTAATGCTTTGCTGCCAGCTGAAATGTTATGCATTCAGACATTTGCAACCCATATACAACCCATATACAGCCCTAGATTAGTATTGTACACTTATTTGGTTTGTCTAAAAAGGGCATCTTTCAGTTCCTTTAATCCAGAGTTTCTCAACCTTGACAATTTTAAGGCATGTGGACTTCAATTCCCAGAATTCCACAGCCAGCAATGCTGGCTGTGGAATTCTGGGAGTTGAAGTCCACATGCCTTAAAATTGTCAAGGTTGAGAAACACTGCTTTAATCGGTGCATAGCAATTACTGTATAGTTTAATTTTAGTCTCCGCTCTCCCCTGCACAGTTAAGGTTTAGCTGCAACAGTACAGCAATAAATGAACAATGATAAACAGAACGACTTTGAAAGAAGAAAAAATTAGAACATTTATTAATATGTACAAGGAAGAATAAAAGATGTATCCACATAGACATTTTATTGGAGAAAGAGACTTATTTTTCCAAAGTGTAATGACTGCAATTCCCATTATCCTAGAGCTGATTGTATATGATACGATAAAATATGAGATCTCTGAAAAGTGCCAAGTAGAAGCTGGCTCACACGGCAAACCGAGGAAGGACTGAAGACTGAAATTTGACATCAATTTTTGGAGACTAACCCATACATTTTAGTATGTAATCTACAAAAAAACGCTGTAAGACTGCTCTGTTTTGCTTTTTTTCTTTTATACTTATTACAGAGCAGACCATCACAATTCCTCTCTAAAAGCAACTACACTACAGAGGTTGCAATCTGAAATTCCTTTTGAAATTACAAATCTTTTCTTTCCCACAGCTTCATAGCATTTGTTATTTACTTCAGTCATGGACTCTGGACTTCTTTTCTTGTCTGTCCTGCTGAGTCTTTAAGAGCTTTATGGATCAAATTGTAATAGAAACCACTGCGTTATAGCCTTTCCATAACACTAATGGTTCAAAAACATGGAGGTGATGAGTATGAATGAAATCAAGGAAGCAAAGCACTAATCAAGTTCCCACAGCTTCATAGAGAACTGAACTAAGAATTATTGTACTTCCCCCACAATGCCGGCTCCCCGATTCTCTTGCCATTTCTCTGAATCCTAGCAGCCAAAAATTTGTTGCCAGGTCAGGGAAACAGATCTACCCATAGAAAGCCAATAAAAACCGGGCAGAACTAATCCCCCGACTTCATCTTCCCCAGCACCATAACAAAAATGTTGCAAATTATATGGCAAGGCATATTTAAACAGGGAAATCATACTTTAAACTGAGACATATTAATTCAAATATAAGATCCCTTTATATGGGTTGAAGATGAGGTGTTCTATACCATTATGAATTTTACCTGGTTTTCTACTGCCTCCTGAAGAGATATCAGATGGTCTTTGCTGAGTTGATTTTAAAGTTCTTTTCTCTCTTTTTTTTAAATTAAGTAATAATTGTAGCTATGATTTTGATACTTTAACATTTTTGCTTCATCAAAAGTTCACTTTTAAGTTCACTTAAAGTTCTTATTGTACTTCATGGAGCATAATAAAATCACTATTATGCATGTTGAACTACTGTTGGTTGAATAAATTGCAATTATCATAATCAGATAGGCTAATATATAAATAATAGTTTATTTATATATTTATTTAATATTATAAATTCCCATAACATTTTAAGCCACAAAGAAATATGAGATGTTTGAAATTAGATTACAAGTATGTATGCAAACTAATGTAAGAAATTTCAGGTATTGGAGAAAGGTGGAGTTTATCAAAAATAAATTATTTTAATAAATAAATATTTTTTAAGGTCTATCCCAGCTATCTATCTATTCCTCTACAGGAATCTGTTGCAGAGATCTAAGGTATTATAAATAAATTGACCTTAATTTTTTATCTAGGGCAAAGTTAATACTGTATATGAGATCAAGCAGTTACTTCCCCTTTAAGATATACATCCACATCAAAGGATATAAATTAGACACAATGAAAGTACTTGTTCAGTTGTAAAGATTTCCCTTAATACTATGAAACATGGAAGAAAGGCCAAAGCCAGCAATTACAATGGTTAATACAAAGGATATCACTAAGGTGTCTTTAGCTCAGTTTCTAAGCTTTTACAAACAACCCATAAGTGAAGAACAAGCCTGGGCTATTTGCTTTCATGGCTGTTGTAAAATGGATCAGATATTAGCTCAGGGACTGGGTTCTGTAGTTCAGATGAAGATTCTAGATATTGATGACCTCTATATTCATTCTGACGGAAGTATATCTTTCACTATCAAACATAACTATGGTAAGAAATTCCAATTAAAATGACTAAAGTTACTCTTTCCATTTATGTGTTTCTAAAATTTCTTATTTCTCTTGTTATTTCAATGTATTATGTGTTACCTTAATTAAGATGTTAATTGTTAATGTATTTACCTGGAAACATAGTCCTCCTACTCACTATATGTGATTTGTGAGTAAATAATGAGCAATTTTATTATGTTTTCCAAAAGGGAAATAGAATAAGTCACAGAATTTAAGATCATTGCAAATGCTTTTCTGTGATTACAGATTATGAAAATTTAATGTAGTATTACATCATCTAAATTGATTTATTTTTCTTTCTAAAACAAGAATTCCAAAACATAATTCCATAGTACCAAAAAAAATATTTATAGTAGAGAAAGGTACTTATTAAATGCGAGTAACTCCTGTTAATTCAGATTTGAATATTTGATTTTAATGTAATCAAGGCAGCAGTCTGTATAATAAGTAGTTCCACATTTCAGATGTGTTGATAATGACAAGCTGTTGTTTGAAAGACACAGCTGAGTAAGAGCAGGAGAGTTAAAAGAATTTATTTTAAAAAATCCTTGATTTTCATTTCTTCTCTTAAAATGATAGGTATAAATTTTTCCTTTTGAAAAAGACCTCTAGAAGACTTGAAATTTTATATATCCTCTTAAATCATAGGAACAAATTATACCAGATATGTTATATAAAAACTTTAATAAAACACTGGAGTATGTACTATGTATCGAAACATTTGAAGTCTATCATCACACTTAAAAGCTAGAAATATGTGCATCTATTAATTCATATTCTTATAATGTATTTATGCTGATTTATAGAAATAATTATTATAGAAATAGAAATGTAGTACACCTTCCCATAATAACTAGGGAATATGTGCCTGTCCAATCTGCTGGCCAAATAAATTCAACATCTCTGTTCTGAGGTCTATCTTTAAACCAGACTCTTTAAACAAAACACGGTCCTCTGTAAAATACATGACTACCTTCATCCAGTGATTTTTAAAAATATTATAATCCTATATATTGGCCAACCTGAGTTTTCCAGATGTATTTGACTACTATCATGTACCAGCAATATGGCTGTGAAGGGAGAAACCAGTAGGTTAAGAAAGGATGCTATATGTAGTCTAGAGGAAATGATAAATGTTGATATTGTAGTGTTTCCTCCCTCCCCTATATTCCATTTGATTAAAGAAATTTCCCACCTCTCCACAGTGGTATGTTTTGATTAATAACTAGGGTTATGAACCACAGAATGCTGTTCAGCTGTCCTTATTTGACAAGTTTTTTTAAAACAACCAAGTGTCAATCTATTGTCAATATCTTCCAGGGTCACCCTGAACATGCAAATGAAATTTAAACTGAAATTGACTAAACATTTGTTTCAGATGGTCACATAAATCAAGAGCCAAGGGAGATTTTAGAGGATAAGGTAAGATTAAGGTGCTTGAAACAATTGTTGGCATACTCGTGACATTAGCAAAATAAATCTATACAGGCAGCTCTTGATTTACGACCACAATTGACCCCAAAATTTCTGTTGCTAAGTGAAACATTTGTTAAGTGAGTTTTGCCCCATTTTATGACTTTTCTTGCCACAGTTGTTAAGTGAATTGCTGCAGTTGTTAACTTAGTAACATGGTTGTTAAGTGAATCTGGTTTCCCCATTGACTTTGCTTATCAGAAGGTTACAAAAGGTGATCACATGGCCCCAGGACACTGCAACCATCATAAATATGAGTCAGTTGTCAAATACCTGAATTTTGATCACATGACCATGGGGATGTTGCAATGGTTTAATTGTAAAAAACTGTCATAGTCACTTTTTTTCAGTGCCGTTGTAACTTTGAACAGTCACTAAATGAACTCTTGTAAGTTGAAGACTACCTGTAGTGATTATGTAGTGATTGGTTTGGCTGTTAGATAATTCATTTCTCTTGGATGGGATTTCATTCTTCTTGTAACCATGAATAAAAATCTGGGATTGTCTTCATTAGTAGCCTTATGGCATAAATACCTAATGGAATAGCTAAAGCTGAGGACATTTCCATATTCATAATATTTTCACTCCTCTATTTTTTTAAAGTTGATGGCAATCCTTGTTAAGTTCATCAGTCTCAAATCTAAGAAATACCATCTGATCAGCATCCTATCCATACTTACTGACTACTGGTGAATAAAATT